TCAGTGCTACTGACGAGGGCTCTCCTCCTCTGTCCTCCTCTAAAACTGTTCACTTATCTGTAGCTGACATCAACGACAACCCACCTGTGTTTGAGGAACAGTCCTACAGCGCATATGTGACTGAAAATAACAAACCTGGCTCCACTTTATGTTCAGTTACTGCTCGAGACCCTGACTGGAGACAGAACGGTACAGTGATTTATTCTCTGTTACCTGGTGAAGTGAACGGTGCCTCAGTCTCCTCCTACCTGTCAGTTAACGGAGACACAGGTGTGATCCACGCTGTGAGGTCATTTGACTATGAACAGTTTAAGAACTTTAAAGTCAACGTCATGGCCAGAGACAACGGTTCTCCTCCACTGAGCAGCAACGTGACTGTCAGTGTATTTATATCAGATGTGAATGACAACTCTCCTCAGATATTGTATCCCTCCTCAGATAGAAACTCCTTCATGACAGAGTTAGTTCCTAAAGCTGCACACGGAGGTTCTCTGGTGTCCAAAGTGATAGCAGTGGACGCAGACTCTGGACAGAACGCCTGGCTGTCCTATCAAATAGTTTCATCTACTGATCCAGGACTTTTCACTATTGGTGTCCACAGTGGAGAGATCAGGACACAGAGGGACATTTCTGAATCTGACAGCATGAAACAGAACCTTGTTGTTGCAGTGAAAGATAACGGACAGCCCCCTCTCTCTGCCACCTGCTCCATGTATTTGATTATTTCTGATAACTTGGCTGAAGTGACGGAACTTAAAGACATTTCTAATGACGGAACTAATTCGAAACTGACTTTTTACCTGATCATTGCACTGGTCTCTGTGTCCACCTTCTTCTTGACCTTCATCATCATCGTCCTGGGTGTGAGGTTCTGTCGCAGAAACAAACCCAGACTGTTGTTTGATGGAGCAGTCGCCATCCCCAGCGCTTATCTTCCTCCTAATTACTCAGATGTTGACGGCACAGGAACTTTACGCAGCACCTACAATTATGACGCCTACCTGACAACAGGTTCTAGAACCAGTGACTTTAAGTTCGTGACATCTTACAATGACAACACACTGCCTGCTGACCAGACTCTGAGGAAAAGTCCCAGTGACTTTGCTGAAATTTTTGGAGGCTGTGATTCTTCACCTGAGGTACTAAGAACTTTTCCCATACCTTAAGTCTTTTTGTGTGTTCTGTGTTTTTACCGTTGCCTTTTCAGACTTCAGGTCTGGTCACTGGAATATCTTAATTTTGTAGTTGTCTTTCAGTATTTCAGTTTTTGCGTGTATCACGGATTCCGTTGTTATTCTCTGTCCTTGGTGCTGAATGATACTTTTCTCTGTGGTTGTGTGTGAAGGGTATTACAGCTCCTCATAGTTTTGTGTCACAGTCAACAATAGTTTTAGACTTTCTGTCGTTTTCTTCTTTTGTTTGAATTTACAGTACGTATAAAGTATAGTTATTTTTACAGTTTTAATAAACTTAACATGTTATAGTTCATAATCATTATTATGTTTCCTAATGTTATTTTTTTTTAAAGAAAATGTGAATTCTGGGTCATTAAAATAGTGATTTATTACTAACTACACAATTACCATTAGTACACAATCGTAACTCTTTATGTTCTCTTGTACCAAAATCGAAAAAATGTTGGAATTCATTAATGTTGACTATTTTAAAATAAGACAATTAAGACCAAGTCTAAATATGATCCTCCATATTCTATTTCACTTGTGTTTAATGTTGTTTCCTAAATACCTGAAGTTTCTATTTGTTCATCACAAGTGCTATAGTTTGGTGATGGTGATTATCGACAAACATCAACTTTAGTGTCATTTGTTGTTGATAAGTAGTTCTAAATGCCAACCATTGTTCTAATATGTTTGTCTTATATATTGGGACAATTATTTTTATTTCTTTGTCAATTCACCCTGCTTAAATCAGCCAAGGCTTAGAAACTGGTCATGAGACTGAGGGATTTCTTGTGAGAGAAGAATTGTAGCAAATGTGAAAAGGGAATATGAACAAGTCTGTAGCGAAACTGAAAAGCGAGTGTTGTCATCAAGAATTTTATTTATTTATTTATTTTTTCAGGGATTACAAAGATAAACAGGATTATAAAGAAGCATATCAAATGGACATCAAGTATTTAACAGAGTTAATAACAGCAAATTGGGCCATGTGCTTAGGACACAATATACATATTTTGAGATGTAGATGATGTGATGTTGTAGACGAGCAAATGAGAAGCTGAAAAATCCCGAACGTCAAAAGAAAACTCACCTTAACTTGGGCGTTTTACTATTTACCTATCCTAGAATATTGTATATTCATGTAAAATGATACTTATTCTTTAAATATATATATATATATA